ATGTGGCGACTGCCTAGCCGTTCTAGCCGAGATGTGTGCGCTGCGCTCGATGAACCACCTTTCGGAAGAGGTTGAATCGATTTTGGGCCGACGCCAAGTAATCCTACTCGACGAGATTTGGGGTGCGAAGAAGGTCGCGTATTTCAGACCCATCGCCCTGGCTTCGGTTTTGTTCAAGTTGTGCTCTGTGGTGCCTGACTTTCTTTCGGTGCTTTACGAGGAACCACCTTCATCATTTCAGTTTGCTAATCTACTCTGAGACCATGCCAAGTGCGTGGTTTTGTTTCGGCCGCGGGGCTGCTCGTGGAACGAGCCAGCGAGTTTGCCGAGCCCCTTTTCCCTCGGCGCAAGAGACCCACGCAAGGCTTTCGACATGGTGGATCATGACAAGTGGACTCGGATCCACGAGCCGAGGGGCGTTCCTCACATTGTGACTGCTGCGCGCATGAGAGAGGTCAGAAGGGGTCATCTAGCGCGCGCGTGCCTGGGCTGGGCCCCGCCGAGGGGATTTCGCGTGACGTCGCGCGCAATATCGATGTTTCAGGGAGCTCCTGGAGCTCCCCGAGAAATTACTACCTCGAGGAGGCCGTCGAGATTTGTGTTAGGCAGTGTGCTGACAGCGAATGGGGGCGCCCCATTGAGGCCACCGGTATTCTTCATTATAGATGAAGGCTTCAAACGAGGCAGTCTCCAAAAGGATCTCAAGAGCACGGTGGCGCGAGGGGTGCGAAGCTTGCGTTGTGTCGTGCGCGTGCGCGATTGTTATTGGATGGCGACCGCTGCCGAAGATGCCGTTCGGATTCTTCTGGAAGGTGAAAATATCAAGCGTGCTTCCAGAGTTGAAGCGTGGATATCCGTGGGCAACGGCTCGACAACGGCGGTGCAGGGGATTATGAGTCGTGGCTGGGCAGCTTTTAATCGTCGCCGTGCCCTGCTCTGCGCCAAGCAGGGGAAGCTGGCGCGCCGCTTTCAGTCGCTCGAATTCGGTAAAAGGCGCCATTTGATTCAGATATGAGTGATGCGTTGCAGACTGATCAATCAGATGCTTGGCCTGCGGAAGGCCCCCGAAGAGACGGCTCGTGATTTCCAGATTCGTGTGAATAGGAAAACCAAACAAGGTTTGGACTACCACGCGGTTGTGACCTTGGGCCGTGAGGTATTGCTGCTCACGCATCGGTGGGCAGGCCATCTAGCCCGCATGAGGATACATTCGCCCACAAGGATCGGCCTACAGGTTCTGATTCTACAGGCTTACGCCACATCCGCCGACCCCTTCTGTGACTGTTGCGAGGCCAGGAGTTTCTGGCCAGCGGCGTCTTGTGTGAGGGTGCGGTGTCGCGCGCGGGTGGTGGCAGATACGTAGGGGGTCCACATGTTTGCGTGATGCCGGTGGTCTGGGGCGTGTTTTGCGAGCGCTTTGCGTGCTGTGCACCCGGGTGCGGGGTGTCCTTCTGGGAGGTCGGCCTTTCGCCCCTCAACCAAGTGGAGGAGCACCGGAAGACGAAAGGAGCAAGAGTAGCGTGCGGAAGCTGTGATCAGCGAAGCATCACCGCGAAAGATGTGGCAGATGAGTCGAAACGGGTGAAGAGGCTGTTGACGTTCGCAGCGCGCACGAAACAGTTCGCGTAGCAGCAGCACGTCGCGTAGCACAGCGCCGAGCAAGATTGTGAGCACGTCGCGAGGAAGAGCAAGGCTGCATGCGCGGAGTGCATTGCAGTTGGCTTGACGGCTCGCAATGCGGAAGCGTCTGGTGGTCTTTTGGAGGCCTCCTGGGGGCCTCTTGGGGGCTCCTTGGGGCGTCTTGGCGGCCTCTTGGGGGCCTCTGGCGGCCTCTTGGGGCACTCTTGGGGCCCCCTGGGGCTCGTGGGGGCGGGAAGCTAGATTTTTGAATTTTTGGTTGCCCTCTTGGGCCCCTCTTGGTGCCGTCTTGGGGCCTTCTTGGACCGTTTTGGGGACCTCTTGGGGCGTCTTGGGGCCATATTGGGCCGTCGTGGGGCCGTCTTGGGGGCCTCTTGGGCTGTCTTGGGGCGGTCTTCAGGGCACGAGACGAATTTGTGAAAACTATACGTTTTACGAAGGAAAGGAGCATTTTTTTCCGTCTAGGGACCCTCTTGGGACGCATCTTGGAGGCCCCTTGGGGGCGTCTTGGGCCAGCTGGAGGCCATCTCGGGTGTTTTCGATCGCTCTTGGACCGTGTGGGACCATGTTCAGCTCTCTGGGAAGCCACTTGGAGCGCTCCTGGAGCGCTCTTGGGGCCGTCTTCGGGGCTCTCTTGGGCCGTCTTCGGCGCCTCTTGAGCCGTCTTGGCGCCCTCTTGGGCTGTCTTGGGGCCCTCTTGGAGGCTTCTTGGACCGTCTTGGTGCGGTCTTGGGGGCCTCTTGGGCTGTCCGGAAGCGTCGGAAAGCCCAAAAGGCGAATTTGTGAAACATGTACGTTTTACTCAGGGAACGGGCCAACTTTTTGCGTCTAGAGGCCCTCTTGGGGCGCATCTTGGATGCCC